ACATGGTACCACCTTGGCACCACCAGCATCTCTAATCGGATGGCCCGAATGATGATTGCGATGACAAGAAAGTAGTAGGCAGTGCAAATAACTTCATCATTTGTCATAAGGCTCTTTGTTCTGAATGTATTCCAGGATTATGCAAGTACACGCATTACTTCAGCTTGTGGAAATGAGTCACAACTTTTTGTGATTCTTGCTCATACCCATTTTGTATTTTTAATAAAATAGGAAATAGAAGAATTGAAGGATTTCACTTGAATGTATGAAGACATTTTACGACGCAGTCTGTATTTCATCCCTTAGCTGAAAATATAGACCGGACTATGCATGCGGGTAGGGTGAAAAAATTTACGCTTTTTGTGCTCGAGATACTCGCGAAGAAGTAAATGTTCTCCAGGCAAGCCTCCATGAAAAGAAAAGTTCTAATTGGAGGTACGCAGTTCAGGATCGGCCTGGCATAGCTGCGCGTAACACTACAAATATTGGATCTCGAAGCAGACTGTCCGGGCGGTCTTGGTATTCTTGAAATGTTCAATGAAATATAGGGGACAAATCCAATACTTTCTGCTTTACACAGTTCGAAAAAAAGTGAAAAATGCAATAAAAAACTTCAAAAAAAAAAAAAACTATTGAAGCCGCACAAAATCCTAATAACCTTCTCGAGCGATCCTGAGTTTGGGATTGCGATGCACAGAGTGCATAGAACCGAATGTGGCCGGAGCGAACAATACTCACGAACAAATGAAGCAAGATTGGGTCATAATAGGCCCAACAAAAAAATCCGGAACGATGATGATGATGCGCTCGGCGATGGATGTGCGGGAAAGAAAAAAGTACTAACGGACAAGGTAAGGACAGCGAACGAGCATCGAGAGAACTACATCCAACGAAAGCTGTAGAGGAGGTAAATGCAACTAGGATCTTCTTAAGAAAGAAGATATTTTTTGGCTCGCAAAGAAGAGAGATTTCTTTTTTTTTTGAACAATAGTTGTTGCATGCGTGATTAGCACTTGTTTTTTGAGGCTACAGTTTATTTGAAGTCCGAAAAAATACAAGTTTCATACACCTTTTGATGGAATGCAATCTAGAACTGAGGACAATTAGCTCAAGGATCGAAGGGCTTGGCAGGGTCGTATCCGGCGTGTGGTAGCATTCCAGTAACATCACTAGTATGGGATAATCACACTGGTTATCCAGGTATTCTTGATATTCTAGATAATCAGAGTTTTATGTAGATTCTCCAAGTAGCCTTAGCATTCCAGGTAATCCAAAGTGTTATATACTATTATAGTCATCGTACGAATATTAATAATAAAAATGTGATTATCATCATCATCATCATCATCATTATCGTAGTTTTAGTCTGATATGAGCGATATTATCAAGTCATTGTATCCTAGAAAATGGACAGAATGGATTGCTGTGTGGTACTTGTGGAAGCAAAGCCACCAACACAACAGAAGTAACAACTTAGCGGATGTATGGAATTATGTGGGTGAAAAAAGCTCAAAATAGGAAAATATCGCAAAGTTGTTAGCTGCATCAACGCGAGGAGGAACGAGATGATGAAACAACAGCTGATCAAAATACAGAAACAGACTGGGAAAGTCGTGACGCACCAGTTTGACTCGTGGCTGGGTGGTGGTAATCACATGCTTATCCATAACGAGAATTTAGGCAAATTTAGCTTTTTTACAACAAAATTCGGAAAAGCGGCGCTTACAGCAAATGCAGCAAAAGAGAGCTGTTATATAAAAAGGCACCTATCGGGTGTCAAAATCGGTCGTACGGGGATCGCCTTTTCTAGGATGCGAAACCCAAATTCGAGCAAAATTTTATTCAGCTACTCCTACTTATGGCAACAAGCAACGTAAAAGATTATTACTTTATCATATTTCTGATCGGAATAATATTAACACCGCTAGGATGATCGGTGTGAGGATCTTATGCTAGTGGTGTTACTCAAGATGATATCGGATGAAAACCAGAAGTAGCAAATGTAGCGAAGTTTCAAAAACAGTTAAATCGTAGAAAAGCTGCACAGAATCTTACTTATTCCTCGAGTTTTAGAAGCTAATAGTAACTCATTAGTGTGCTGAAACCCACTTAAACTTCTCTGTCTTATTCACAGGAGGCAGCACCACTCTCTCTTTATCCTTGAGCCCCATTAGCAGCCATTACTTCCCATCTTCTCACACATACAAATGTGCAAAGAGTGCATCCAGAAATAAACAAAAATTTTTACTTAAGTAAACAAAAATCCACAAAAGAATATACTTTTTGTGGATGCGGTCACGTAAAAAATTCCTGGTATTCAGTAAAAAGGCAAATCCACGTTTAAAAAAATCAGCAGGCTGGCCATCAGGATTAGAAAAGCAGCTGGATGTATAGTTGGAGAACCAGAAAAATTAATGAGTGAGTGGAATGAGTCAATTGTGCAATTGCAGCTAAATACATTTTCTGTGAAGTTGGGAGATGTCTAAATTAAAACGTCATAATCCCTCTCTGTATTCGCTCTTTGTAGGAGGCGAGTACCCCAGAAGTATCCTGAAGTTAGCGAATGCTAACAACGACCACCCGTTGATAAGCTGTCAATGGCTTTCTCTTTCGAGAATTGCTCATGATCAAGCTGATGGCGGGTTTGACTTCCTGGCATATGCCACTACCTCATTTACCATCGAAACGATTGTACGAACTGTAGAGGGACTGTTTGCTATACCTGCCGACCAAATTAAAACGTAAAAAATATCCCTCTCTTGCAGAACAGCAACTTAGATATCAGGATGGATTCTGAAGTAATTACAGTATAATTCAAGTTATGAAATTGTTCCTTGCTCCTTATTCGGTAATTCTGAATGATCCATCAGGATTTTGACGAACTCCCTTACCGAAGAGGCAAGAGGAAATTTGAGAGAAAAAAGGGTCAAGAATACTTCGGCTATGAATGTATCCGCATCAAATATCTTTTTTGTACGAAAATTCAAAGCAGTCAAGAAAAAGCGGAGGTGCGGTCGTGTACAAGAAAGGATTGGAAGGAGCATGAAAGCTGAATGGCAACGGGACAGTATACAAATAATACTGAGGCTTGTTAAATTGGTTTTTGAACTAACCAAGTTTGTTTAAGGAATGTTTGTTCTCAGAAAGGAAATATATCCGTGTTCCGGAATAATTTTTCATCCCTGCTGCCAGCTTTCCTCTTTCTTTCCTCGTCACTGGACAAGACATTTCATCTTTTTCGAATATCCAATGAAAGATGAAAAGTTTGCACCGCTAACAGCAGGGACTTGGAGAATTCTTCATTTTCCAAAACGAATGGTAAAAATTCGCTTCATCCCAGAAAAACTATATTACATTAAAATTTAGCTGTTTCACCGTGTAATACACTCAGATGGCGCATATGCATCGAAGGCCATGGATACTCGTTACAGACAAAGGCCCTGGATTCCACTGCATCCAGAGTTGAGTACTAACTGAAGGTATGCATTCCAGATTCAAGAAATCCGGCATAACTGCGCCCGGCATTTGAG